TCCTGGGCCGGCAGCGGCACGCTGTGCAGCGGGTGGTGCGCGTGCAGCCACTGCTGCTGCTCCAGCGCCAAGCGCTGCAGCTCCGCTGACTGCGCGTGCATGGCCTGTAGCTGGTGAGCTGCCGACATCGGGGCGGAGAGGGAGGCTGGCAGGTCCCGGTAAGGGGCAGCTGTGAGGGGCAGGGGCAGGGGCAGGTGACTGGCAGATACTGAGCTCCTGCCCCGGGCCAGGCCACCCACACAGGACAGTGGACTAAAAGGAAGAGGCCGTCATCGAGCTGTTGTGGCTGATGGGAACCCAGCCTGAGTCTCTCTCAGGAGGCCTCCTCCATTCCTGCTCCAGCCTCTCCACCCTCAGAAACCTGCCAGGCCGCTCCACCAACCAGGGTTCCCTCTCTGTCCTCTCCCCGCCTCCCTACCAACCTCTGTCCTTACCAAAGAGCTGGTGACGAAGAACTTCGTTCTCGTGCAGAGGGTGAGGAAGAAGGGGGTTCGGGAGGGTCCCCGCTGGATAGGGGATCCGGGTAAGGTGCGACCCTGAGGCCAGGGGGTCAATGAGAGGGTGCACCGAGGCGGAGGCTGAGGGGAAAAAGGAGACCTGTCAATACCAGGCAGGGATGGGATCTGAGCTCGGGCAGAGCCAGACTGGCACACTAGGGAACCCAAAGGGACACAAAGGCAGAACATAGGCCTAGATCTGGGCAGACAGAGACACGACAGGCAGGAGAGGAGACCACAGCTGCTCGAGGAGTTTGAGGAGAAGGAAAGAAAGGCCAGCTTCCATCAGGTGAAAGACAACAGATGCACAGGAGAGGAGAAAGAAGAGTGGTTAACAAGGGGAAAACAGGAGGCACCTAGAATGAAGAGCATACAGGGTACGCTGGAGGAGAACAGGGTGGCAATCCCAGCACTGTAGGACACTGAAGCAGGCCATCTCAACTTTGAGCCCAGCCCATTAAAGTTACAAAGGGCGATAGCCAGGCATGGTAGCACACGCCTGTAATCTCAGGAGGCTGAGGCAGGATTGCCATGAGAGTTCATGAATAGCTTGGGATACATAGTGAGTTCAGGGCCAGCCTGAACTACCAAGAGAGACACTGCCTCAAAAAACAAAAAAAAAAAGGGCTGAGGATGTAGCTCAGTGTGAAGGCCCTGGATTCAAGTTCCAATACAAGAAAGAGAGAGAAAGAAAGGCTAGGAGGGCTCCGCCAGGCCCTCCATCGGATGCTGGACCTTGGGGAGGGCTGGAGGGAAGGTCAGAGAGGCAGTGATCAGGGTGGAGTCTCCAGAGGTTACCGCCAAGGTTGGGGGGGGCGGAAGCGGAAGCTGGGTCAGCGTTACGTGGCTCACCTGCGTGGATGGCGTCCTGCTGGTGCAGGTGCAGGTGCGAGTGGATGTGGGAGTGCTGGTGGTGGTGCGGGGTCACGTTGAGCATCTGCAGCCGGGCCAGTGGGTCACTGCCCAGGGCTGCTACCCTTTCTGCGTGCTGCCTCTCGGCCGCCAACCGCTCAGCGTAGGACATGTCCGGCCGCAAGGCTGGCCCAGCTGCCAGCGCCAGACGCTCTCGCTCCAGGGGCCCGAGGCTCGGGTGGAAGGGGAAAGGGTGCAGGCCGGGCGGCGCGGGCTGCAGAGCCAGGCCCCCGTGCCGGGGGAAGGGATCCAGGCCTGGCCCTGGGACCCCGTGCAGGGGCTCCAGCTCACCAGGCTTCACCTCGAAGCCCGGTTTGAGACGGTCGCGGAGGTCTCGCTCACGGGCTTCCCGCTCCCTCTCCCGGGCGGCGGGGTCACTGCTGTACAGGGCCGGGTAGCCAAGGAGCCCGCGGGCTGCAGAGCCAGGCCCCCGTGCCGGGGGAAGGGATCCAGGCCTGGCCCTGGGACCCCGTGCAGGGGCTCCAGCTCACCAGGCTTCACCTCGAAGCCCGGTTTGAGACGGTCGCGGAGGTCTCGCTCACGGGCTTCCCGCTCCCTCTCCCGGGCGGCGGGGTCACTGCTGTACAGGGCCGGGTAGCCAAGGAGCCCGGGGTCCACTGCCCCCAGGGGCACATAGAAAGGATGGTTGCGATTGCCTGGAGACATGACGTGAGGTCGGGCGTATTCACTGAGAGTGCGCAGGGCTGGAGTGTCAGGACCCAGGTAGGGGGGCACTGTGGCCACAGCGCTGCCAGGCTCAAAAGGAGGGCGATGGGGCACTGGGCCCAAAGATGTGCACTCCACCGGAGCACGGCCCTCCTGCGCCAATTTCTGCGAGGTACATTAGTGGAGTCAAAACTGCTGTTCTAGGAACATTGCCTGTTCCTACCAAGAGCCTTCCTGTGACCCACAGGTAAGCGTCAGCCCTGTGCAAGCCCCGCAGTGCTCCCTCCAGAGTTCCTCTTGGGTTACTTTCCCCGAGCTGCAGTGGCTCCTCCTTTCCGACAGGTGGCGAAGTGACTCCCCCGCCACGTACACCCGGAGCCCAGATGCGCCGCGCGAGGGAGGGAGGGAAAGAGGCGGGCGGCGCATCTGGTGACGCACTCACCACGCTCCGTTCCAGCTCGCGCTCTTTCTCGCGCTCGCGCTCCTTCTCGCGCTCCCGCTCCCGCTCGCGCTCCTTTTCTTCGCGCGCGCGCTGCTCGGCCTCGCGCCGCACCTTCTCCACTAGGTCTGCCCGCTTCTTGGCCAGCTTGGATCCCTCCAGCGGCACGAAGTACAAGTCGCTGCGCGCGCACGAGTTGAAACCGCGGTCCAGGTGTTTGTTGAACCTGCCGGGAGGCAGCGCGCGCTCAGCCCCCCTACTTCAAGCTGCCACCCACGGCGCGCGGGCCGGGTGCAGTGCCCGGTGCACTTCCAAAAATAGCATGAGCCGGGCGTGGGGGTGCACATGTGTGATCCCTGCGCGGTGGGAGGCCGAGACAGAACAGCATATTCAAGCCCAGCCCGGAGGTCTTGGCGAGACCCTGGCCAAGAAATAATAAAGGGCGGGGGACACAGCCCTCGGGGAAGGCCCTGGTCTCAGTCGTCAGCACGGCGCGATCTCACCCCTCTCACACCCGCTCTCACCTGGCCGACTGGCTAGCGTGGCTGGGCACGTCCACCACCTTGGGAGGGGGCGAGGGGCTGCGGGCCGGGGGCGCCGGGC